TCAATAAAACACAATTAAAACTATTGTTCATTTAATTCTAAATGCACCTTTATATAAAAGGTCCTCTTGAGTATTCCCGTGAAGTGAATAGAAAAATCAATCTATTTGGTTTTGTTTATCCAAAGTATTGAATTTACAACGTGATCTCATTCATTGATCCGACTCTGCATCTAGATACTGACCACACACATTCAGTAAGACATGGCCATACTGTACATCCACATACAAGTTCAATTCAGATTCAAGAATGCCTTTTAATGGAGTAAACCCCATAGATAGCCACTCCTTGTGCACCCCACAAATGCTAAATACTAATGTTTTTATCATGCACACATACCAAAGTTCAGGCCACATAATACTACTCTGCCCATCCACAGAAAAGACAATTGGTTTGATTGCGGTTTTAGAGCAACTCATCTCAGTAATCTCCAGCTTATTGCTCTTTTACTTTGGCCTAATGCACTGAGATGGAGCTGACCATGGCTAAACAGAGCCGGCCTATGGTCTCCTTCCTCCTCCAATTTGATTTTAATAAAGACGCCCTCATTGTACAAACACAGATGGAAAGGACTCATTATCTGGGTTTGAACAAGGGATGAAAAGCTCCCTATCTCCTCATAACAATCATTGTGTTTTGTTTTCTCTCCCAGATGCATCCAACTTTCTCAAATTATTGCTCTATTCACATATCGTAATACAAAGGTTGTGCGTTAGATATGAAACAAAATAGCAGCAAAAAAAAAAAAAAAAAAAACTGAGCAAAAATTTATCAACAACCTGCCTTCCCAAAAATTATAGCATATAGGCACCATTATGCCGAATGAGAGGATAAATAATTTGTTGATATGAAAAGTACACACAGATGAAGGCAGTGGGAGGCAACCGTATTACTGCTGCTTGGTAACACAAGTCTGAGATTTAACCTTTCAAAATAATAAAATAAAAAAGTTGCTTTAGGCATACAATTTCCACAAAATACTTCGTGGACATTATGCTGCTGCTGCTCCAGTCAAGTCAGGCAATTTTATGTCAGAGTATTTACTATTAGTCTTACGCTACACAACCCTGTCTGGTAGGTGCACAGAGGTTGACTTTTCTTTTAAAAGCCTCACCTTAATTTATAATGTATGCCAGTTTGGGAAATGCAAAACAAATTATCAGACCAAACCATGCAATGACTTCTGTAGGTCTATTTGATATAAGAATTAAAACATAGCATCCATTGTCCTATTTTTATCATGAATTTTTGACTTATCATCGTTTTAAAAACGATATATTATATTTAAATATTACTTAAAGGTGCACTGTGTAACTTTTCAGATAGAGGGTCTGCCATCTGCTTGTTTCCATGCTGATGTTATTACGTTGCCTTAAATGCTCCACAGTATGGCATTAAACTTATATATCTTGTATTTATACAATTACATGTGTGTTCATGCTGAAAAAATACATTGAAAAACGTGCATTCTTACTGTCAGTGGGGTTGCAGACAGATCTTACCTGTAACTTTGCGTAGTTGCGTCATCTGCTTGTCTCCATGGATATACTGTAGACAAGTTTACCATACTGTGGAACTTTCAAGGCAAACCAATAACATCTCCATGGAGACAATCAAGTTGTGAAGCCT